AAAGAGAGAGAGACTTGGTATAGCATAATCAATGGGGAGGCTCCTGCCTCTTGGCTTTTGGCCTTTCCTGACCACTCAGAGAAGATGAGGGAGCAGACATTTATCTCAAGGGGTTCTTTCTTGGAGCACATGGTATCCTGACCTTCCACAAACCATACAGCAGTTATCCCAGAGCATTTGTAAAAGACTGTGCATTTACATGGTTCCTTGTGATAAATGGAAGGGGGGGAGAGAAATGTTGACAGTAGCATCGGGCTGAAGTGTCCCATCATATTTGGGAATACTTGCATGTCCAAACATCATGAAACAATGGGTACACCCGTGTGCACACAAAATATGCCAAGTCATGGGTGATGTATTCAATAGAATTTCCAGAACACCGAATGAAAGAGAGAGACCCACATATGCTGACTCACACACCTACTCAAAAAGCTGTCCTGGCTTCCCATCCCACCTATACATTTTGCTGGCTACACAGAAATATTGCTCCGGGACTGTTATATTATGTAGAGCTTGGAAATGTTATTTTTAGAGTGCAGTTCCCAGAATTCTGCAGGTGGCGCAGTCAGAGCATGGAACCAGATATTAATGCCTCTCCCTGATAACTCTTCTAAGCTCTGCCTAGGTGGGTAACCATCACTTTTGCTCATTGGAAGCCAGAATTTTGGAGTTGAAGAACTGCAGGAAAAAAAATAGGACTGGAAGGCTCGCTACTGCTTCTCCGGTGGCAACAGTCTTTTTTTGACCCAGAACCTCCCGCTGCCGCCACCCTGCAAATGCTGCTTGTTCCACCCCTCCGTTTCTGGCATGCTTCTCTGTTTGTCCCTCCCCTCCTCCAGACAATGTTTGGTTCTCTAATGCTACGTTTGTCTGCTGTTCTTTTGGGGTTGTCTAGACCAGGCTGCTTTGCTGCCACTGCTTCTGGGCTGCCCCTCTTTTCCTTGCTGGCTTCTTTTCATGTGAGTGGAGGAAAAAAGATTTCTACTTGCCTCTTCAGCCCCCCTTCACCTTCCTCCATAGGTTGCTCTTGTACAATAGTTTGGTTGCACCTGTCAATAGGTCTTCACAGCAGGCAAAAACTACAACAAGGAAAAGTCTTGCAACACCTTAAAGACAACTATCCCGTTTACTATGCCAGAAAACAATGGGGCTAGATGACAGCAATGCAAAAATATGGACAGAAAATAAACACACTGTTTATTCGCAATATGTACGCTCGCCTTCGCCCATGGGACGTCCTGTCCTGGACTACTGCTCTTATCATCTTGAACCATGTGGCCGTGCTGGCTGGGGTTTATGGGAGTTATCCCTTCCAAACATCTGGAGAGCCAAAGGTTGAGAGAGACCCATCTGCAGCATTGCTTGATGGCTCCATTTCCTTGGCATTCACTCGAATTCCCTCCTTTTTTTTTAATTTCCCAGAGCATTCTTCTTCCTCACACCTCCACTAGCCCGCTGCTGCCTTCCAGTTCAGGTGTTTTCACACATGGGGCCAGGATCAATCTTATCAGCTCCTGCTGAATGGAAAAATCTGCCAGCATAGTAAACACAGGATGATACCACTACTGCTTGTGCAAGCCTCGCCACAGGGAAGATCTTCTTCGTGGAGATCATTGCTTATGCAGCAACCACTGCACGAGGGGCGCAATCCCATATGATAACTTTGCAGGGCTTTCCACTCAGTGGAAGCTCAATAGGTTCATAGCCATTAAGTTTTTCTGGCAGTAAAGGTATTTCACAGTGGAAAAGGTATGCCAAGCCCAGGAAGATTGCCTGCCACATTAAAATTGCCACGTGTGGTGAATCACACAGGCATGCGTACATAGTTATGGTTTATTCATAGGTCTCCTGTATCTACAGAAAAAGTGACTGTGTCTGAACCGTCCTGAAGCAGCAGGACTAATGGCTGTGGCTTGGCTCAGCCACTGGCATGGAAATTGGCATTCAACTCGCAGGATTCTGTCGCAGCCCTTTTCCAAAGATCTGGATATCTATTTCACACAAACACCTGTCTGTGAGGATAACGTGTCTTCAGCCTTCCAGTTGGTTTGGCTGTTAATTCCCAGAAGCTGCACTCAGCATGGCCATTGATACAGTGTTATGGGAGCTGTAGCTTCAGATCTCCCCACCTCCCCCAAGTGTGTACAAACATATGTCTCCTGACTCTGGGCAAAACCAGTCCGTGCAATCCAGCAGATGGCCAAAGGGATGCTCTCAGCAGAGGGAAAGCTGCCTGAAGGGCTTGTCCAGTCCTTTGGCCACCTGCTGGGACAGCCAATATCTAGGCTAATTAATGCTAGCTACACAGTTAATAGGTTCAGAAAATATAGATGCCTGCATTTCTGAGTCTGTACCTTTAATAAGCCCATGAAGGCTCAGAGCAGAACCATGATGCAGCTGTAATTTTTTTTTGCCATGAAGTACAACTTATTTTGTGTGAGGCATGTCCTGTGTAGTCATGAAGTTTGCAAGATGTCCATTTTCTTTCCTAAGAAAGTTCAAATTGTGTGCCATAAAAAGCTGAGCTGTGTGATCTGTTTACATTTAGATGTAAGGAATCCCTTGAGGGCATTCTGTTAGGTCCCTATATGCATATGTGGTGGACATGTGAAATAAGAAAGAAAGAATGAGCACAGGCTTTTAAGCAAATGATTAAAATTATTGTATACAATATTCAGATACCACCAATTATTGCCCTCCTAAATGTAATTAAGAATGACCATCTAAAAAAGATCTGAGTTAGTTGTTATTATGGTTACAGTAGCAAGACTAATATTTGCAAAGAATTGGAAAAGTGACATATTAATCTTCAAGATTGGTACAAAGAAATGTGGAGCTTAGCAATTAATAGTAAGTTAACGTGAAGTGAAAATAAGAAGAGGAATGGTAAAGTCTAATGATTTCAAAGATGTATGGAATGTATACTTGGAGCATGCCTTTTCGAAGGGGAAAAGCTATATTCCAGCAAAAGAATCAATTTATTTTTGGAAAGGTATGGGGTGAAAAGGGACATAAATTGATATTACCAGTCACCTAGTCCCAAGGGTGAAGGCGGCATGGGTAGGGAAAGTTCAATGTGCACTGTGTGTAGTCATGATTGAATTTGTATTATAGTATTAATTAAGTTAAAAATAAAAGAGGACATTCTGTTAGGCGAAGGAGTCTCACCCTTTGAACCCCAGGCTGGGTGAGACCTGGAAGGTGAAAGAATTAGCACTATGGGCAAACTTCTAACCTAGATGTGCAGCCTGCCTCCTTACCCAAGACGGAATTCTTTCCTGATTGTGCACTTTGTTCTTAGCCAGACAGGGCAGACCACCTAGAATAATAATCTTAGCAAATGTAGCCAAGCCACCTTCTGCAGATAACCAAACCACTTTTCCCCCCAAGGATCACACTTGGTAAAAATATAAAAAGGTTTAGAAAAATTATATTTTAAAAAAAAGAATTCAAAAAGGTAGTTGTGCAGTTCCAAAACCACGCAAAAGCAATAAGCAATGCATGTTCAGATGTGTGAGCTCTATAAAAGCTTTCCCCTTAAAATAATAAAAACTAACTACTTCTGACTAAAAAACTATACACCAGCTAACTTATCATGATTAAGCTTCTACCGCATCTCTACCCCTAATCAGACAGATGAATAGCTAGCTGGACAGCTCCTAACTAGCTTTTTGCTGAATCTTAAATCCCCCAACATGATGTTATTCAATCGGGTGCAAGTCCTTTGTCCAGTAACGTCACCCTCAAAATGTAACTTCTCTCAGTCCCTCCTTTCAGTTCTCATCTGTGTTAACAAGCAATTAGGAATGGAATATAATGTCTCTGGCTCCCTGTAGGATGTCGTTGGTGCAGCCTAGAACAGAGCAAAACAAATCTTATTCATGCAGATAAGCACCAGTTGGAGCAGCCTGGAGAAATACAGCATAACCCATCTGATTTCCTCACAGATGTCAAGCGAGTATTCGTTTATATCTCTTTTCTTAATGGTAACCTTTCAAGGGGTGATATAGAGATCCAGAAGCTAAGATAAGACGCCGAACTTTCCAGACCCTTGCTGGAGCACTCTGAATACAGTATTTTATTCAATATTGCCTATACATTCGTAAACATTGTTTTGCAGCAATAAAGGCTAGAAGCGTATTTTTAAAAAGAGAAAGGAAAATGAAAGCTGAGATTCTCAGGCTTTTGAATTCTCCATCTGATATTAAATTCTGTGCTTAGAGTTGCATAAGGTACATGGTCTTGACCAGGAACCTTCCTCCGTGATTTCACTACGTTTTCAGCCTAGGTTACTGCAGAAGCCCATTGCGAAGAGAAGGAAGTTAGACGTGGTAAAACAGTTGGCAAA